CCTAAGCCGCTCATGGTGAGCTTTAAGGCTTTTGAAGGAAAGGATGGAGAAAATCTCTTGCTCTGGGTGAGAGATGTCGAGATGGCCATCGCATCCGCCATGCTCCAGACCGAGCGAGACGCTAGCCATCTCAAAGCTTGGTGGTCGAGTGCGAGCATGGGCACTGATGTTCGTCACTTCGGTTGAAGCGGTGTTGATCTCCTAGACGAAGCTGAAACTTCTTTTCTTACGAGTGTTAGCGCCGCCTAACCAGGCATATCGCAAGCGATCGCGTTTCCTTACCATCCAACAGGGCAAGGAGGAATTGGTTGACTTTGTCCAAGAGTTGCGTACTCTCATTGCCGGTATGGCAGCCGATCCTCTCTTTGAGGCGGTAAGGCCTCCGCCCAGAGTGTAAGCCTTTCGTGTGTATCCGTCTTCCGTTGAAGAAGAAGTGAATGTGGCATTGAATGCCGAATTTGACTCTGAGTCGTTATGACTTGGTTGGAATGCACACTTTAGTAGCTAGTCGAGCGGGTCAGAGCCGATGGGTCCCAGAAGTACAGAGAAACAAGAAACAGAGCTCCAAGCTTCCAAGAAGCGTTCGAACACCGGACAGTATTTTGTCTGTGGGAACACCCGTCGCCTTCGAACTGGTCGTTTCCTGCGCTAGGCACATCAAGCCGACATCCCGCTTCTCACCAGTCTTCTATTTCGTCGCAAAGAAACAACAACACCCAGTTGGCGCGAGGTGCCCTACCGGGGAAGAACTGAGTCTTGTTGAGCCTCAGGTTAGCAGGGGCCAGCCCCAAAAAAGCTCCGAGCTCTTGAACACGGAACGTGTATTCAAGCCGTGATTGTTGGTCGTGAAAGTGTTTGTGTAAGGCTTTGAGAAACCATGGAGGCTAATGGCCGACTCCGGGGTGTGGGCGTCGGGCAATGATGCTTTACGCTCCATGATAGAAGGAAGTCAGCTGTATGCTGAAGCGCTGAATCGCGGTTGAGTGGCATCGTCACTATTCGCTTAGCGACGGGGCTATGTGTCACCGGTACATTAGTACCTGTGGACCTCGGTTTCAAGTTTCTTGACTTTGATAGCGTGGAACGCTACTTTTCTTAGACTTGGATGAAACGTATGACCTCATCCTCGGTATGGCATGGTTGGAACGGCATGAGCCATGGATCGATTGGAGGTCGAAGACCTTAGGCATTGCGCGCACGTATCCTGGTGAAGCTTTGGTGAATCATGAAATGACCTCTGCTAGAAGGCAAAAACGCTGTTGGCGCGGGCACTGGACCGGGACAGTCAACGTGATGGAGATCGTAATATCTGAGTTGTCAAACACCGAAGGTGTTCAAACAGGAGCCCGAGCATAGCTCGCGGGCAGGACGTACAGTGGCACGTAACCCACTGAGCACTGCTCAAGTATCAGAGATTTCGCTGCATGCCATGC